AAAGAGGTTGTACAACGAAGATTTAATACGATATACGTATTTGAGAGAAACTTACTTGTTCATTACAAAATATATACGTATGTAATCTAAATTGTATATTTTTTCAATTAATTTGCAGAAAAGATCTTGAAAGAATTACCCTAGTTACATAATTGTTCATTAAGAATTATATACAATGAAAGTGTTCAGTTTACTTATTGAACTATTTCTCGCCATTGTTTTGGTCAGACTTTCCTGTGAAATGAATAACTTCAAAGACCCGCGACATGATTACATGTGTACCGTGTGCATACGAAAACTCCTATGCAAGAGAGCACCCCACGTTTTCTATTCGGCGATAACAACAAGGATCGATGAGAAACGCGAAGCTCGCACGTATCGCCACGGTCAGAGAATAATGCGAGCATCGCCGAGCGCACCGCTACCGTACACGCGCCGCCATTATCGCGCGAACGTAGCAAATCCAAACCGACGAGTCAGCCCATCGTAAACACAGGCACAACTGGCGAGTTTAATTCGATTAGGACGCTATCATCGGATTGCTCGATCGTCCGGCATCGAATTCCCCCGACGCGCTCGTGCGGCCTCTTCCCTCTCTGTCTCTCTCTCTCTCTTTACCTCTCTTTATCCCCTTTCCCGACTCTCGCGTTGCAACCCTCAGCGTTCACCTCTTACCCTCTCTTAGTCCCTTACGCTCTATAAGCGCGAGTACACACATTCTATCGTAGATAGAAACGCATACAGAGTACCCCCTTCACCCCCTGCTGCCTCTGTCTCTCTATCTGTCTGATTTTATCCTGCGAGTCTTGCGAAAGCCGGAATATATACGCGGTGCACAGAAAGTACCGTCTTAAAATTGCATTAAGTATTTTTAAGAAACCTTCGCGTGTTTGACTAAACGAATTTCTCGGAAAGCATAGTGAATTTAATTATCTCTATTTTATTTTAAATATTCCGAAATAAAATAAATTCATACAACATCGAGTTTCGCGAAGTCGTTTACTTGTCACGAGTTAATTAGATGTTCGCAGATGTATTTAACTGAATATGTCAGCATATTTAATTACATAATTAATCAACTGAACGAAAGAGATTTAGACCCGTGTTCAGAACGCGCTTTTATTGATAAATGCGCGTTTTAATTTTTTGAATTCTATAGTATATGTAATTATGTGCTAAAAACACATAACTTAACTTCATTATAATTTTAAATATTCCATAAATGACATATTTCAGTGCTAACATCATTATAAGTTCAAAATATTTCATAATTTATGATATATTTATATTACAGCGCTAACGTCGTTATAAGCGTTCTAAATACTCTGTAATTTATAGTTTTAAATATTTTCTACTTAATTTATAACTTCTAAATACTCTATATAAAATAATCTACAGCTTCTAAATACTCTATAACTTATATTTATTTTTGCAGTAGCAAAATATATATTTGCCTATATTTCTTCAACCAAGAAGATCAAGTTATTCGTTGCTTCATAGACACCATGTAGATGTACGCATACTAGGGAGAATTTTGCGGAGCATTGTTGAGGAACCCGATTCTATTCGATTCGATTCGAGTACATGCGCGCCGAACGAGCCGGAAACCGACGTTTGCGCGAACACGAATTTACCCTACTGTCTGGCCTAATGGCACGGATTTCATTATGCCGGGGTTTGCGCGAATGCAAACTTGAAGAGGGAGGCCAGGATGGAAGGGTAGGTGGACGAAGGGATGGGGGCGAAGCGTTATACGCACGGCATAGTCGACGGTCAACCGATTTGGATTGCAAAACTGTTGTCCCAGCGAATTTGCAATGCCGCGAACGGAACAGCCGGAAATATTATCGCTACACCCATTATCCTATTGTACGTCGGGATAATGCTAATAAATATCGCTAAGTCGACTTTCGATGTGCGATAGTTTGCACGATTCGCGACGAGTTAGATGACCGCACCTATTTCGCGATTGCGAGCATTTATTATCGGATAATAATCTCAATCGCGTTTGATGGTATCGCGAGCGACAGTTATCGGTATAATTTCGGTAATTTTGTGTATAGCGTGCGTGAAATGACCAGTGTTAATTTTCCGCTGTTCTTTTTTTTTCTAAATAGCTGCTCCTTATCCTAAATATAAACACGGACCCTCTTCTCGTGCTCGCTTAATCAGTCATGCATAATGTTGGCATTAATACATCTTAAGTGCTGCCATAATAACAACACGTATAATTATCACGTATTAATATATTTAAATAATTTGTAGGCAATCATAATGAATTTAAAAATTTTTAACAAATTGTATCAACTCCGAAGAGTAACAAAATTGATATCTAAATTTTTTGCAATGTTTTTTCAGGTAGTCATTACATCTTGTAACTTCAATTTCATCAAGATTAAAATCTTGGACGACAATCTAGTATAATCATTATTGATCTAACAATGTACAACTATTCTGAAAAGTAATAAAATTGATACCTAATTTTTTTGCAATGTTTTCTGAAGAAATCATTACTTCTTGTACCTCAATTTTGTCAAGATTAAAATTTTCAACGATAATGTAATAATTATTATTATTCTAATAATGTATGACTACTCTGAAAAGTAATAAAATTTCTATTCAATTTTTTTGCAATATTTTCTCAAGAAATCTCAAGAAGTTACTTCTTGTACTTCAATTTCGTCAAAATTAAAATCTTGAATGACAATCTGATATGTATAATAATTATTGATCTAACAATGTATGACTACTCTGAAAAGTAGCAAAATTTATATCTAATTTTTTTACAATGTTTTCTCAAAAAATTCATTACTTCTTGTACTTCAATTTTGTCAAAATTAAAATCTTGGACAGCAATCTAGTAGTAATTATTGATACTTCATCATAAATTTATCCTGCTTATCACAGATAAAGAAAGTCATTCTGTTATATTCATGGAAAAAAAACTTATCTAAAATTAAGGTCTAAACGATCGATAAAGAACGATCAGAAGGTTTCCAACACACATACACATATAGAGCGGTGACCTTCCTCCTTAAATGTACCTGGTACTTTGCGGAGGACGATAAACTTCGGACAAACGATCGAGATTAATAGAACGAGGCTTGGGGCCCCGTCTGTGATACTATCGATCCGCGCCACGGCATGGCGAACGAGATACACGAGAGACTCCCTACGGGATCGTAAATCCACGTCGAAGATTTACTTACTTAGCGGAGTCGGCCACCGCCGACTCCACGAACACGACGACGAATCTGCTCTTCTTTACAAACGTACAAACAAGCTTACGCGAACTCGCTTTTTATGGTCATCCGGTTATGAGTTTTTAACCTCTACTCTAAAAATGTCGATTTTAGCAGCTTGACTTCGCATTTTATAAAAACTAACACTGAGTACACCCAGAGAAAAGGTTGCTTCGATTTAAAGAAATGTTTCTTTGCTGTACAGTTAAAGAAAAAATTTCTTTGATTTAAACATTATTTTTTTAAATCAAATAAAATTTATTTGATTTAAAGAAATTATGTTCAAATCCAAGAAATGATGTTCAAATTATGATTTCTTTGATTTGTGAAAAAATTTCTTTGATTTAAACATTATTTTTTAAAATCAAATAAAATTTATTTGATTTAAAAAAAATTATGTTCAAATCCAAGAAATGACGTTCAAGTCATAATTTGATTTGAACATAATTTTTTTTAATTAAATAAATTTTATTTGATTTAAAAAAATAATGTTTAAATCAAAGAAATTTTTTTCTTTAACCGAAATTTCTTTAAATTGAAGTCTTTCTCTGGGTGTGTCACATACCTGCCAATTTATTTCCGTCGTGAAATACTTAATGTAATGTTAATAGCAGAATTGTGTAGTGAATTTTCTATATTATTTTCGCGCATCTTCGTTACATTATCTATACTATACTATCAGAATTATTTTTCATGTGATATATTAAAATACATACATGTTATTAAATGAGGTAGATATTTTGACTGACGTGAGAAACTGATAAACTTAAAATATAACATGTCCAACAAAATTCTTCTATTTGCAGTAGATTTATCAGACATCGTGTTATGTCACGGCTTTAACTGATAGATTATAATATTATCACATAGATCAATATAAATAGATAGACTACAAAGGACTATAATAAAAAAGGGAAGCTTTTTATATACATTTTTATATACAAAATGAATTAATTTTTTCTATCTTATTAATGATCACTTTACTATTTTTTTATTAAATGAATTATGTATAGAGCATATATTAAATATGAGAAAGGCAGAGAGACTAAAACATTTTTTATCCGTTTATTATTTATGCTTCTGATGCATATATATTTTGAATGTAGATACATATTGCATGAATATATTGAGAAAAATTCTGAATGTATGTTTTTGGACTCAATTTATACAATATTTAATCATGGAAGAATATTTTAGAAGAGAATAGAACAAATAAAATATCACTAGTCCAACCACATTTTTCCTACTCTATAAATAATCATTTTATATCACGTAACAATATATCTAAAGTTTGTTTTATAATTTTTACAGAAAAAAATGAAGAAATTTTAATAAAAATTTTAGCAACTTAAATATTCACCAATTTGATTAAAATTAATATACTAGTGACATTAATACTGTCCATCATGTGTAAAGTAAAATTATTAATATCCATTATCTTTATTTTTACATGAACTGCACGCATATTTACTTTTTGTATTATTTATGTCATTAGTCGTAATACCTATTAACGATGCGTCGACATAATGGACTACATTTCGAATCGTGAATACATAAATCAATGAATAATGATGTTCCAGAATTAAATATTAAGCTTTATTTGTTCTATTCATTGTCGGATCTATGAGATAATATTGCCTGTTGCTCTAATTTTATTGTTCCAATTTGATTATATTTTAACATATGTGTTTAGACATGTATGTATATTAATACAATCTGCATAAATTTGTTCAATAAAAAAATTTACTTATCACTCACCGACCGATGCGCAACAGCGGAGTTATCTGCTACGTTGACTACGTTGAAATCTGTAACATATCCATATAAAGATTTCAATTAAAACAATGCTTAAAATAATCAATGTTTTAATTAATTACTATGCGTTATTATTATAAAATTTTTCAGTTATCTTTTTTTTCGAACAGAAACGGAATGTTTGTTGAAATAATTGTACAATTTCCAAGAGAATCTTTATAAGTATAAACTTTTGTAAAATGTGATATGGAAATCTTTTTCTCTAATAATTTTTTTGAAAATAAAACAATTTGATGAAACGAGAAAAAATGATTTTTATATAAGTAAAAAATAATATTCACCGCAAACAAAAACTCGTCGATGCCCGACGCCTCTCCAAGGCCTCCACCTCCTCTCAAATTATCAGGCACTTCCTTCTAGGTTGTCAAATCTTCTTAACTTACACTTGCACAACACTCCCGAGAAACACTCGTGGCTAATTATCAGTAACAATTTTTGCGCGGTACACGATATTCCCATTTATATAAAACCTTCCCTCCCCCCCAAGATAAAATACCCATATTCCGTCGACATAATTCGAATCAATAAGTACGTTGGCACTCAATAAAATCCTAAGATCCTACATTATCGTACATCGAAAGTGCGATCACTAACTTGAACTAGAATATAAATCGAATAGCTCTTAAGAAGTCTTTTAGTCATTAATCGCGATTATAACCTCTAATTTGTAAAAAGTCTCCGCTTCCCGATACTTGCCGTAACGACTTTAAAGAATAAATACGACGCAGGAGTGCGACGGTTATACCGAATACCGAAATTTTCCCGTTGCCGTTACATACTTATTTAAGACACAACACAAAGACACGACACAAATCGGAACGTACATCTCCCAAATTCCCATGCAGGCCTCGATAAGAGATCGTATTCTTACGTTAAGGCGTTGAACTAACTTAATCTCGTGCGTATTTAACGATGCGACGGGTAGCGATGTCGAATATCCACTTCGAAAGTACATAAAAATCGTCGCGTCGATACGCCATTAATCTTGGTACACTCGAGAAACGAATTAGTCGCGATTTTAATCTCTAATCGTTCGTAAGGAATCTCGTTCGTTTGTCAGTACTTGCCAACGTTTGAAAAAATAATACGACGCAGTGACGCGGCACCACTGTCGACCGATCCAAGTCCTGCGTCACGCTCGAATGATAGCGCGCTGATGCGACCTTGTTTTCGTGCGACGTGTTTACGAATTTTATAACCGGCGTCGATTTCTGGGAATTTTCCCGTTGCCAATGCGACGTAACTTGTGGACGAATACGTATGAATATGAGTGTAAAAATTCGTACAGAGAAATAGTTTCAAAAAATACCTTACTTTTAGAAAGAATAAATATTAATTAGAAAGCAATTCGTTAACAACGAATAGAACAAATACATCTCTACTTACTTTACTGAAAAGGATGATTAAAGTAATTAGAGATGTATCTATTCTATTCGTTGTTAATGAATTGCTATCTAATTAATATTTATTCTTTCTAAAAGTAAAGTATTTTTTGAAACTATTTCTCTGTACGAATTTTTACACTCATATTCATATGTATTCGTCCGTAAGTTATGTCGTCTTGGCAACGGGAAAATTCCGAAATACGAATCATTAAAAAGAAAATTTCTCATATGAATAATTACTAATTACGTACAGAAGAACCGCGCAAGTAATATAGAATTGAACAAGTGAAAGAGTAAAGCAAAGCGCGACGATAAAAATGTACGATAGATATCCATTTCTCAAAATAAAATAAGATTAAATAAATGAATAAATAATTTTCATACGCGACAGTTGAGCGTCCAAACGGTGCGGTGGCGGCCGGCGAAGTACGAAACAAGTGAGGGGGACTAGTGGGAGCGCGAATAGCGAGGGGGACTAGGGGGAGCGGGGATGGCGTGGGGAGCGCGAAAAGCGAGGGGAGCGCGGTTGACGTCATCACTTCGGCATTCACTTGACGACCTAAGAAGGGGACGGCAGTAGTACCAGACGCTCCGAATGTCGCATTAATTTACGAAAAAATAAAATGAGATATCTACGAACGCGAATTACCTAAGGGTACAAGTAGCAAGGTATGTATTAATAGTTAAGGATGAATAGCTCAGATGAATTCTAAATAATTCTTTTATCTTTTTTAATTGAAAATATATATTTTAAAATATATTATTACGTTTGTGAAATAAAATTCGTGTTTATCGTTATTTAACATTTTTTGATTGCTCGTCTTAGCTTTTCTTTTCCTTAAAATTACTCTGCGAAAAGTCTTCCTATCTATATATTTAAAATATTCTATTGTCTACATATATATTTAAAATATATTATCTTTAATGAAAAAGATTTAATAATTGTTTTTTTGGACAAAATGGAAATTTATTTTACTTAATCATCACGCGAAATCTAATGGAATCAATGTAAGATTACGGTTTATTCAATAAAATGTGTTAAATTAATACAGATAGATATATTATCCAAATTAAGAAATGTACGAATACTTTTTGTTCAATGAAATATTATTACTATTTGTCCATATAATTATAAGAAACATATAATTTATTGCATTATTAATAAATTGTTAATTAATATTTGCTTTCTATAAGTAAGATTTTTTTTGAATACAATATATATTTTCTCCTGTACAAATATTTTTTTACACTCACCATAAATTCTTCAAGAAATTTTTCTTATTTCGTTCACACTTGTTTCATTCTTTCGTTCAATCAATCTATTTTAATCTCGGTCTGTCACATTTTCCTTACATAATTCGTTAATCTGTCAGTGACGGAAATCATTCGTTATTATTTATAAGATCATGCATGCTCGACGAAAGAACATTCGAGCGAAATTGTGAACATAAACCGGACAAACGCGGTTGGGGAGTAACGAGTAATGAGATGCCTGCGTCTCATTATGAGACGTAAATCGGAGACATAAGTATGTAAGGAAGCGTGTTTTGTTCCACTATTTTACGTTCTTTCTTATTGGCACAATCGATAAAAATTTAAGGAATATTTTACAATAGAGCGAGGAATTTCCATGTTATCTCATATTCACGCATGAAAGACATTTCGCATTACGACTTTACAGACAGAATTTTATATTTTTAGTGATAAAAAATGGTAAAGAGTTGATGAAAAATGGTTGGAAGTTCTGTACCGCATAAATTCACGTTCGAATTAAATGGGAAAATAAATATAAATGAAAGAAGAAATGAGATAAATGTACGTCGGGTATAATAAAAGATTCATTACGCTCTTACGAGAGGTGTAATGAGACGTTTAAAGGAAGAGAAATTTGAGATATACTAAAATTTCTTTAAAAATTACAAATATCTTCACCATTTTGTATGCAGCTATATCTATTGAAAAAAAAGATCCCTATATTATACAAGGCTGAAAGGGCATATTTAAAGGAAGTAACAAGCTCGTTGCAGTGGCATAAAATTCTCAAAGATAACGTAACTTACAAAGACAGATTAACGATAGAAATTTCTTTTTTCCATTAATAATATAGCTTAACATTACCTTTGAAGATAATTGTGTAATTCTCTGTACATGGGCGTAGCCAGGATTTTATTTAAGTGGAGGGAGGGGGACAAATTAAAGTTGAGATTTTTAAAGTAAGGCAAAGAGTAGTATGTGGATTATTGGATGTATTTTTTTATTATTATTATTACTAATTAATTATTAGCAGAGAAATCACGAAATTAAACATATTTAATTTACTGATTTATTTTAGTTTTCTTTTAAAATTGTAAACTAATTTTTAAAATAAAAAACTTAAACTTACACTACTAGTTTGTCTTGGATCATTAGAAAATCTTTCTATAATTTTTCAAGTCTTTTTTTTCAAAAATTAATTTCTCAAAAATTAATTTCAAAAATTTAATTTTTTAATACATTAAGAATTATTAATACATTGATCCATAAATATGTAATGATTTTTGTAATTATTTTTGTTCTTTTTTAAAATTTGAGAGATATGATACGATCCCCTTTGTTTCCCCCTTGACTATGCATGCTTCTCTATATGTATAAAAAGAAAAACTATTTCATGTATGTTATGATAGAAAGAAATCCGTGTTTTCCAAGTGTAAAAATAAAACTTGGTTTTTAACTTTTTATTATGGGAAGAGAACTGTGTTGTGCGATTAAAATTTTTAAAATATTGGCATAGACAGACTTTTTAATGAAAGACTTTAATTTCCGATAATGTATTTTTGTGATTCGCTTCATCAAAGTCTCGCGACGATAGAAAGTTTCGATATGTAACAGTGCTGTCTGCGCTTGAAATGTTTGAATCGCATTTTTCGAAAGGATCTCGTCGACGTAGAAACGCGATCGGAAGCACGTCACGCCGTTAATGAAAACGAGCGCTGCTCGAAGAAGAAGACCACAAAGTGGACGTCGATAAAGTCGCCGTAGAGTGGATGCTCGATAACTGTGTCCCAACGACGACGAAGTACGTTGGAGCAAATTAAATTTTCTTCGTTGACTAGTCCAAATTTCTCCATCAAGCCTTTCATTCCCAGCGCATCCTTCTCTTCTTCCTTTCTTTGAGTTCGTCTCTCGCCGGTTTCCTTTTTAGCAATCAGACGAGCAGGAGCCAAGCTTGTACCACCTAGAGCTTGCACAATCGCGAGATAAACGAAATTTCTGCTTCTTGCATATTTTCTTTTGTTACTTTACAATAATGACAAAATCGGCAGCCATAAACTGAAAAACTATTCGAACGGAAAATCATATCTTGTAAATATTAATTTTATTTGTCAATACACTTGTTTCATTTTCTTACACACTCTTAGCTAAAAGTATTAAGTATCTATGTGTTTCTGTCATTTATTTGAAATTCTTTTATCTATTGTATTATTTTCTATTCGGCATTTTCTTTCTCGGCATTGTATAAGTTTAAGGGAATGCTGGCGTAACAAAATTATCGACATTACGGGTTAGAAAGTTTTTCAAATTGACTTTACAGGCTTGAAAACCTTTTACTAAAAGAATTATACATATATACACACACACACACACACACACACACACACACACACACACACACACATGTGAGTGTCTGATAAGCTTTGACAAAGTGCTTGTGCAAATAACGTGGATTAAATTGATTGTGAGTTGAAAAATTCTGTATCATTTTGTAATTTTCTCAATAGTTTACGAGAAATTATTTAAGATTGTCAAATGAACTCGTATTCGATGTTAATATTGTTTATTATAAATTGACTTTGAGTGAAAACGTTAAAAAAAGTTAATAAGATGCCTGTACTTTTGATCAAAGTTGTGTCTCATACTGTGTTGTGTCTTATACTCTTTGTGTTAAAGAACTATAAATGATCATTTATATTTCTTTAACACAAAGAGTATATTTCTTTCAATTACATGCCAATATTAATAATACAAATACAATATGCGAATATAACAATATAGATATGTAGATTTTAATAAGAAAAATAAAAGAGATGCTATACATTTAGATCTTGAAAAATCTTTGAGATATTCAATAACCTGACATACACCAAAAAGGGTATCGAATTTCAAAAGTCTCTGTGGGTGGTCATCAAGCATTCGCTATGTACGTGAGAGAATTCACTTCGATATTCTTAACTTCGATCTTTGCTAGAATAGAATTGTCAAGAAAATGAAAGGAAGCATTCAGTATAATAAAATCGACAAAGTCTCGACAAATAAGTATAAATCGAGTCACACCTAAAATAACACGGAGATGAAGAAAGCAGGTATACAAACTAGAAGTTACAATGAGCAGTAAAATTTGCAAAATACTTTTCCATCTCTAAAATATTTTTCGAATATCTACTACTATAGTCTGTATACTTCGACTTTTTTAAATTTCATGTTCTAAAGTTTTTTAGAAATTTTTGAGAAATAAATAATTTTTCTAGTATATAGAATATGTAAAACATATTGAAGTGAAAATGAAGAATTAAGAAAGTGTTTCAAAGTGGTGCAGTGTGAGAAATTGATGTAGTTGTTCTTGAATGATGTCTAACGTAAATCACAGACAAAACGTGTGCGAGAAAACAAAAGGAATGATAAAAAAGTGTGTGACTGGATGTAAAATTTCTAAGATGCCATCGAGCTGAAGATATGAGGAAGCCCGGCGGCTTATCTAGTTTGCATGGAAGCGTTCTTTGTGAATAAAGAAAACGTGTGGAAAACTCGCGTTACATGTCGCGCATATTTCTCATGAAGAGAGAACGCATTCGGAATGACACGTTGCATGCAAATGTAAATCGTAACGCAAGAGAATTAAATTTTATTGCTGTGTAATTTGCACCGAAGGTACACTTCATAAACGATTGTTCATTAAATCCGCGTCCATAATTATAATTATTCATTTGCAAGTTAAGCTTTATAGCTTATTACTCGCGATAATTATTAATTAAATAATTAAATATACATTTCTCTTAATCTTGATTATATAATTAAAGAAAATAAAATCGTATTGTGCATCGGAAATGTCATAAATTTAACAGATGATATTTTGCTTCATTAATAATGTCTGAAACTAAATTTTCTGCTTCTACTATACCTCCTTCTCTTTAATAATGAACACAAGTACATAACACATATACCCAAACGCAAATGTTCCTCGCCTCAACGACGTTGAGAATTTGACTATGCTGATACTTGATTAATTTTAACCACTGCATTAGTCCTTTGGCTGTGTTATTGCGTGTACACTTATCCCTATGTGCAAACGGGCTACAAACTACACGTGTAAGACGATCTCTAGGTGTTTGTATATGTGTGTATATATAAGCATGTTAAGTGAATACAACGGGCACGTGGTGGTCTCTAACGTAGCACTCGTCTACGTATACACAACTTACCTCGAGGAGTTTGCTAGCGTTCTTGCTTGCATTTGACTAACCGCGTTAACGGATCTCGATCCAAATATCAGTCTCGAGGAATCCTTTATGTGGTTCGCGCTTTATGTGCACCGAGTCGGTGCCAAGAACCGGCAACGAACCTTTGTCCTTATGAATTCCCGCAAAACAAATTCGAGTTTCGTGATTTGCCATTTGAATGAAGCTTCATAACTTTATAATCTTTCAATGATTTTTTAGATCCTAAATAACGTAACAAAAGCAAATTTTTTCATACATTTAGAAAAACTGTTGAATGACTTTATGACGTAATAATTAATGAACTATGCATGTTAGAAATTTTTGTATTTAATTTATTTATGAACTTAAATTATATTTTGCATTAAATTTTATGATTTCCATTTAAATTGTTTCCGTTCCTATTTTATATTTTAAAAATAATTCAAGAAAGATTAATGTACATTCTAGTATAAAATCAATTTTAAAATATTTAATAATTTTGTGTACTTTATTCGTATATATTTTTTATCTTTTTTTGTGTTAAATTTTGTATTAAAATTCAACAAATGATGAATTCTCTTTTTCTGTCTTTGTCCAATTAATAATTATGTTTATGTAACTTGATTTACATCTTTGATTGCAGATGAGTGGAAAACGGACTAGAAGTTTTAAGTGCGCCGTACACCATCGGGATCGTGAGGTCTGTTCCGAGAACGATTTTCATCTGCTCGTGCATGAGCCACCTCTGTTTCGCAGGTATGATTTTAAGAGTCACGTTTAGTTATAATAAGTTTTTCACGGTCCATCGAAATGTAATAGTAGCACTTGGAAGCACGTATTTTTCTGCTTCATAAGATTTGGATAAAACATTTCTTTGAAGAAATCCTTTTTCACGATCAATTTAAAATCTAAACCATGAAAATTCCAAACGACGCTGACTTGCATTATTACTAATCATTGTCAAAATCGTAATAAAACGTATCTAGATACGTCGAGTAAATGAAAAGCAATCGTTTGCAAAGATGTTCGGTTACTAAAACACTTTTTGAGAATATCACGTACATTCGAGTTGAGATAGTGTGATAGGTCTCTCGAAAAGGGCGGTAAACCAATTCTCTCATCTTACGACACGTCGAAAGGCGCGAGAGACGCACGAAGACGCTAGGAATGCGGATAAAACGAAAACACGAGGCGAAGGAAAAGTCCTGTATTTTATTATTCTGGCAGAATATCCGACGTGCGCGACGACGACGATAGCAGAAGCGACGACGACGCGACAGAGACAGCAATGCGGACTAGAACGGCCATTCTTACAGTATTTCTGCCGTGCATTTTATGCTGCGCATCGTTACCCATGCGAGAGAACCTCGAGGAGCTACCGACATACCTCGTACATTGTACGACCTGCGAAACATCAACATCTTCCTGCTTCCTATGACCCGCTCTTACGATCCCACTTCCTTCTTCATGCCTTTCTCACTTTGCATCTTCTACGCTCCGTGAAATTATAAATGCAATGATGTCGTTATTTACCGATACGCTTCCGCGCTTTTAAACAATTCTTTACATCATCAAATTTTTTCCGATGGATGATGTGCATTAGCGGATCCAGAAATTTGTTAACGGAAAAGAAGCTATTGGCTCGCGCCAGCTAAATTTTTTTTAAGAATATGAAAAGATTAAATATTAAATTATTATATTATTTAAATATATGTATAAAATGTTTTATTTATTAGGTGTTGGAATTAATTTGTAGCGTTTTACAAGTGATGGGAAGTACTTTCATTAATGTATTTTTTAATGCTCATGTGAAATAAATAACATTCTTTCATTAAAAACGCTACGAATTAATTCCAACACCTAATAAAATTATGTTAACATAAAAAAAAGAATATAATAAAATCTATACTTTTCATATATCTAGGTGTTTCTTAAATTAAAAAATATTTTTGGAATATCAAAATTGTGAATTAAGCATTTCAGAGAGAGAGAAATATTAAAAATATATATAATATTTTGCTATATATATTTTTAAAAAAGGAGATTCCAAGGCTCTCCTTCCGTGAATCCGCCAGTGCACAAATAGTCCTGAAAAATTATGATTTCCTATAAAAAGGAAATGTAAGCTGAGTATAAATCGTTGCCATAATAACAGCTACGACATTGAACATGGATTGTCGGGTGTTATCGATATGGTAAATATCGTTCGTCGTTAATCATATCCTTTAACGAATCCATCGAGTTCGTCGTCGATATAAATATAACTTGTACAGAATAATCGCTGTTACGCGACAAGCTTAATAATGCAATTTATTGACGTCCTCGGTGCAGTTTCGAGTTTAATTTGCAAACGTACGTGACGAAGTAGTCGACGTGCAATTTAAATAAAAGCATTCCCGCTATCTAATGCGTCATTTATAACAACATCGGGATCGCATCGATGTCGCGTCGCGATCTCGAAGGCGTGTTCGTTTCGTTGCGCATCCGACGATATTAATTCCTTTTTTCTCGCGGACCAGGCTCGATAAGATGAATAGGTTTGGATATGTATCGGGCATCGTTCTTTCGAGGAGGCGCCGCCCGTGCTGGGTCTCTCGAGCGTGGTCGATTCGACTTGTTCCTGGGTGCTAGTCATAAATAATTCATCGTATCACCCGCACGAAAGAAGAGACGGAGAAGATGGTGCTCGACGGAGCGAGAGAGAAAGAATGAGAAAATGAGACGGAGAAGACAAGCGACAAGAGATAGGCCGTGCAAGGTAGACTTCGAAGTAGACGCATAGGGATGGCTTTATATGAAAACTAATAGAACTTGCGTTTCAAGCCCTCAGCTGTCAAGGGACTCCGGAGATGGTAATTTTGTATTTATACAAATATTTGTAGAACTTTTAAAGTTTTATATCGCGCGAGATAAAATACACATAAATTCTCTGACATGTTTCTCAACATCATTTTTCTTTTTTATTTTTTTCTGAATTTTTTTCGAAAATTGTTAACTTTGATCAAAGTCATCGTTCACTCTCCCGGGTAAATTGAGGGAGAAACAAAAAAGTTTAAAAATTATAAAAATATCAATGAAATGTAAGAGACCTATGGAAGAAGATAAAGATGAAGATAAATAGATAGATAGATATTATCGTCATGTATTGAGTGCTCTAGGAAAACACTGAACAAAATACAATTGACAGAGTAAACTTAATTACAAAGAAGTAGAAACTAAATTAACAGTAAAAAAGAGAGAAAAAGTGATGGTAACGTTTGAAAAGTGTAACAAAATTAATAAAAGGTACACTGTTAAATTTACAATGTTAAATTATGCTCATTTTATATTATTTTTAATTACAATACTTCTCTAGATTACCACTCAACATGTCGTCAGTTTAATTAAAACAGTGGAGTCAAACAATTTAACTCAAACAAATGTATTAAATTTGTTTATTATTTAATTGTAAGCAAACATTAATCGAACGTTCTTTACTTTGAAATTAACCACAGAAATATATTGATTTACATTTTAACACATATGAAATATTAAAAATAGCAAAATGTTATTTAACTCAAGAGAGTTACCATTGCTTCTTTGATATTTAACAGTGCACGTATCTATCTCTAAGTAGCATCTATTATATAGAGAGAAAGAAGTGCGGTGAGTGCTAAATCTAGGCACGCTGCATCGCGACGTGCCGTACCGAAGAGAGAAATTTCTGTATACACAAGATAAGAAGAAGCAGCAACTTACAGTCAGGGCTCTTTGCAAATAAAATATAGTCTCGTGTCAAGCGGTCGCGCCTAGCGGGGGTGGTGTGTCGGGGTGGGGGGAGGGGGAGGTTGTTCGAGGATGGGTGAGGATCCGACGCGTTACGACGGAAATATGACGAGACGATATTCCGAGCAGGTACCAAGCGCATGCTTGGAATTCGGTGTGAGCACAACCCTTAAGTCTTGGGTGCGCTACCCTCTCCGACATCTCTTCATCTCGCTCCTTTTATCGTCCCCAGCCACTTTCGCGATCCATGTAACTCATACCTCTCCGTCTCGCTATATTTCTCTCTCTCTCTTTCTTTCTCTCGTCCGCACTTCGTTACATTAACGCGCGAGGAGTATGTAAATTTTACCGCTGACTCGCGAAAAGATGGGACTTCTTCGCTCGTACCCTCGGGAGGTCGCGCAGCCGCCTTTTCACGTCTGAAAAACCTTACACGGCGGCGACGGTTTATGGCGGTCGGTACATCTTCGGTGGAGAGCCACATTGGTCGCGAGGTAATAGTGATGGTCGTACAACAGGGACATTGAAGTCTTTGAGATTCTCCGACGTGAATCTCAATGGCAGTTTGAATTGACGTTAATACATAATCCTTAAAACAGCGTTTACAATTTTTGAGGCATAAAACTTGAACTTTAAGTCTTAAGTCGTACACAATTAAATTCATAATGTCAAATTTAACCTAATTTAAATCATTACTGCTTCTACTCAATATATTGTCACTTTATACTAAAAACAATTATTAAATCCGACATTATATAGTGCCACATTGTTTTAAAATATTTAACGCTATTGTTTTAGTATAAAATGATGATATATTGAGTAGGAACGACTTAAATTAGATGAATTTGACACTATATATTTAATAGTCCAATCACAATCGAATGTGAGGAGAATATGGTGGCTGAATTTCTTACGACTTAAGGCTTTAAGCCTAAGTTTTACACTTTAAAATCTCATTGTAGACATTAATTAAATACATAAATTTAAACCGCGAGGCGTTAGATTATGCGTCATAAGAATGGCGGTAACGAACGTTTCTGGCAAAGTAACATTTTCGAGAAAACGAATCAAAAATCTTCGCACCACGTGGAATAGTATGGCTGAATAATTCTCGTGATTCTCGGCCAGCGATCCGATTTCCGCTCCGATGATATTTCCGTTCACCATTGTCGCAAAAAGAAGGGATGGAAACACGGTGCCGTCGCTTCGTGCACGCTTCCGCCTTTATGTCGGGGTATTCCCTTTCGCTTAACAAACTCGAAGCGGACATTTTGCAAGGCGGACCGGGATGGTTACACAAAAAGAACCCGGTTACACACATGCGGAAATTCATTGCGCCCGTGTCTCTCATTCGGCCCTTTGTCGAGGCCTCGCTTGGTCGGCGCGCGCGTTTCCATTTTTCGCTTTCGCGAGAACGTCATCCAGCCGTTATGCGCTCGTTCGCGCTTCTCGTCGACGTGACAATGAGCTTCTGCTCTCGCGGAAAACCACTTCGTTTTTCCTCTCAGCCTGTATCGCGCATACATATATATATATATATATATATATGGGTTCGTTATGACGAACCGTCAACGGAGCACAATTATTTCACGCTTTTAACGCACTCCATGACTCTTTTACTACGAATACTATGAACACTAGCGTTCCTGAAAACGGAATCTTAACTTAGATGACGATGCAAAACTCGACTGCGTTTTATATAAAAATCTAATCAGAATTCTAGCGAATAATTGAAAAGATGAACTGCAGTCAATTATTTGCAAGTCAATTTATTTATGTAGTCTATTGCAAATGTGATAAATATCATGAGATTCCGAAAATCATTTATAGAATTTTCTTGATCAAGAGAATATATATATATATAAACTAGAAGAAATTCAGTATAAATTCTCTCTCACAGAAGAAATTCTGATAAATGCTAAAATTATATTGAGTGAGATTTATATGTTTGCATCGCAATCTATATTTAAATATTAATTAGATTATTGAAA